AATGATTAGCTGTATAGGACGGTTGGGTGTAAATCACTTGAATGTTACAGGAGATTTTTCCATCTGGAGAGGTCTGGGAAATGGTGGCTATGGATGACACCAGAGGATGTTGCTCTTATTCCTTCCCATCTTAAGGAGCTTCAGAAGGAATCCCAGTGCTCACTTTGGCCAGAATCCTATAGAGAAGTCATTTCTATGGTACAGTTGCGGCGAATCCTACTGCTCTATGCTAGGTATTGGATATGAGTTCCATTGTGTTGGCTTGTATGCAACAGAGATGTTTTTATCTGGTTTCTGAAAAGGCTGACTAGATGCTCATGGCCTTGGGTGAGGGAGGGAGGTGGGAGGTTATGTCTTTTTTTAAAGATTTACTTATAAAAGAGCCCATGAGAGTATTTTAGGCATGGAAAGCCAAGACACTCTGGCAAAAACAAAGCAAAACAAAACAAAACAAACAAACAAAACCTAAATGAAAGATCTCTTCGAGTGAGATCCCAGTGGAAAGAACGGGGCCATCAAACAAGGAGGTACCTTTCTCTGAAGGGAGGAGAGAACTTCCACTTTGACTATGACCTTGTCTGAATAAGTCGGCGAACTCAAAAGGTTTCCATAGCCTTGGCAACTCATGTCTAGAGCCTAGGGAGATAGATTACTGATGCCATAACCAAGAGTGTCAAATTGTTAAGTCAACAACAGGAGTCACTGTGCACTTACTCCTCATGTGGGATCTCTGACCTTAATGTTGTCCAATGTGAATTAATGCTATAACTAGTATTGAAACAGTATTTTACACTTTATGTTCTGTGTGGGTGCAAACTGATGAAGTCTTTACTTAATATATACTAAATCAATCTTCTGTATATAAAGATAATTGAAAATGAATCTTGATGTGAATGGAATGGGAGAGGGAGCGAGAGATGGGAGGGGTGCAAGTGGGAGGGAAGTTATGGTTGGGGGGGAAACCATTGTAATCCATAAACTGTACTTTGGAAATTTATATTTACTAAATAAAAGTTAAAAAAAGAAAAGAAAAAAAGAAATAGTGATTACATTGAGGAGATGAGATTATCCCTGGGAAACTACATAAAAAATTAGGAATTTTGTACTTTTCTCTTTGTACACCTCTGTACAGTCTGGATTATTTTATGGCATATTCATTACCAATATAAGTAATTTTAATAAAAAATTATAATTATGGCCGGCGCCGCGGCTCACTAGGCTAATCCTCCGCCTTGCGGCGCCAGCATACCGGGTTCTAGTCCCGGTCGGGGCGCCGGATTCTGTCCCGGTTGCCCCTCTTCCAGGCCAGCTCTCTGCTGTGGCCAGGGAGTGCAGTGGAGGATGGTCCAAGTGCTTGGACCCTGCACCCCATGGGAGACCAGGATAAGTACCTGGCTCCTGCCATCGGATCAGCGCGGTGCGTTGGCTGCAGCGCGCTGGCCGTGGCGGCCATTGGAGGGTGAACCAATGGTAAAAGGAAGACCTTTCTCTCTGTCTCTCTCTCTCACTGTCCACTCTGCCTGTCAAAAAAATTATAATTATGATTAAAAAAAGATTTACTTATTTATTTGAAAGTCAGAGTTACGCAGAGAGAGAAGTGGGAGATCGGGAGAGAGAGAGAAAGAGAGAGAGGTCTTCCATCCACTGGTTCACTCCCCAGTTGGCCCCAACAGCCGGAGCTGCACTGATCCAAAGCCAAGAGCCAGGAGCTTCTTCCAGGTCTCCCACTCAGGTGCAGGGGCCCAAGGACTTGGGCCATCTTCTACTGCTTTCCTAGGCTATGGCAGAGAACTGGATCAGAAGTGGAGCAACTGGGACTTTAACCGGTGCTCATATGGGATGCCGGCACTGCAGGCAGTGGCTTTGCCCACTATGCCACAGCGCCGGCCCTGGAGGTTGTGTCTTAGAAACCCTCTAGACCTTCTTGTTAGCAAGGACAGGGGCCAATGGAATTTTGACTAGGACAGGCCTTGAAAATTGAAAGAACACTTACTTGATGCTGCCTGCAAGGCAATTTAAGATAAGCTGCTAGAATTCACGGTGTCACAGTGATTATAGATCTCAACAAGTTGAATGTTAAAAGTAGCAAATCCTATTCCAGGTCACCTTTAAGTAGACATTATAAATCTTTAAATACAAGTTGCTTTCTTCTCTGTGGGAGGCTGCTGAAGATTGCTAAGGTGACTCCATTTAAAAGGAACTGGAATAAAAGATCCTGGCAGCTATTGTTCTTGGTAATAGGTTCCTTCCCTACTATCCCGAAATTACTTTCAGGGTAGTTCATAAACAGGTTTACAGTTATTTTATGGCTCACTGTTTAATAGTGCCTCCCCAGTCTGAATTTTGCTCAAGATATTTTGTCATACCAACTGGGTTTAATTTATTGGCTCTATTAGACATGGATACAAAGTTAGAGAAAAGGTTAAAATAGGTATTTTTTTTTTTTTTTTACAGCACAAAGTAGATATGTCAGGGCAAATCTGCTGTATTTTAAAGCTAAAGTCTGTTACTTGCATTTGGCAAGGAGCAATTCTATATTTTTCTGCGAAAAAATAAGATGTGATTGAATTCTAGTGCCTAATCCAGCGCCTGCTATGCAGGCACCCAGGGAACACTTGTTTACAGACAATTTTTTTCAAAGTTTATTGGTTACCTACTTTGGACTAAGCTCCCTTTTCTTTTTTATTATAATTTTTAATTTTAATTTTTTATTTATTTTTAAGGAATACAAATTTCATAAGTAAAACTTTAGGAATATAGTTATTCTTCCCACCACACCTGCCCTCCCTCTCCCATTCCCTGTCCCATTCTCCATTAAGATTCATTTTCAATTAACTTTGTGCACAGAAGATCAACTCTATACTAAGTAAAGGTTTCAATTTGCACACACATTCACAAACTGAGAACTAGTTTACAGTTAACTCTCATAATACAACTCATTGAGGACAGAGGTCCTGCATGGGGAGTTTGTGTTCAGTGACTCCTATTGTTAATTTAACAATTAACACTCTTACATATGACGTCAGTGACCAACCCAAGGCTCTTGACATGTAAGCTCCCTTTTCTGTATGTAGTCATTGCTCCATGTTTTTATAGCTAAATGGATGACTCTTCTATACAAGATCATTATTATCTGTAAGGAAATAAAATATCTATAAATAAATTAGGATAAGGTATATATACCTTATATAAATACCAATTAGGTATTTATATATACCAATTAGGATATATATATATATACACCTTATATATACCAATTATATATATACCTTATATATACCAATTATATATATATATATATATACCTTATATATACAAATTAGGTATATATACCTTATATAAATACCAATTAGGATAAGATAAACATTTGATAGCTAAAACTAAACTTTAGTTTAAACTCCCAGGAAGGAAAGATTAATTCTCTCTGAAAGAAATCAAGATAAACTTCCTAGAGAGCATTATTTTTTTGTTCTCACAAAGTATATGACCAACTATAGAGTCCTATACTTGAGTGTGAATGTCAGCTGTCACCAAACTGTGACACCAGGGGGAAAGAAACATGTACTGGTAGGGGTGACCCATGTTTATTTCCCCAACATCATGAAAGATTGAAAAGCTTTTGTGTTTTTGATCACAACGTTCTGTAGTCCTGAGTCTGAGCTGTCTCAGATGCCCACAATGGTGATCACTTTCCCCACAGAATAATGCGACTGGTTCACAGAAAGGAGAGGGCTGAGGAGAGTAGAGAGGACCAGGGGAGGGGAGCTCTCAGGGCCAAATAGCAGTCAGATGACTCAGAACACTAGATACATATAATACAATACAATCCATTCAGAAAGATGTGCTCACAAATCCCCTTTACTGTGACTTTTGGAGTTCTCTAAGGAGAGAACAATGATGGAATATTATGCAAGATTTGAAAACAAAGGATATAAATTAAGATTATATGCTAACAGGATCAATTAATGTCAAGTGAATAATCTAATGTCAAGTGAAGTAGTCAGATTCTAGAACTATATGTGAAAAACAACTATGCTAAAACACATACAACTTTGTGCAGTAATACACTTGAGCTAAATTAACAAAATTATCAAAAACAATTTCTTTAGGTTGGAAAGATAATTGCCTTTTAAAAACCATTTGCAAAATGATTACATTTTCAATACAAAAAACATAAATTTCAGTATTTTTTTAAAAAATGATATTGATATTTAGCAGGAAAACCTTGCAGGGAACAGATCCTCTTCAAGATTGCGCCAATGAGGGGGAAGAGGATTTGCTTATTTAGCATTATGTATTTTGTCACAGATTGTAGAGAAATGCTTTAGTCCCCGAACATACTGAACATACTACACCACTCTGTTTCCATTTGATCTGCATTTGTATTATCATAGTGTCTTATGAGAGTGTTCTGGAACAGTTCTAGTCTTAACTTAGTTCAAGGTCACATAGTCCAACACTGTATCCATGTTTAGTAGAAGAAGGTTTAGAAGAAGGCAGACCAAGCTGACTGTTCATAAAGACTTCACATTGTTGCAGCACAGAGTCCATTGGATGCTATGAACTGACTGATGTGAATTACAGAGAAGGTGGCTAGGACCAAACTCCTCCAATGAGAGTGTTAGCACCAGAGATCCGCAGGGATACTGGTCTAGCTAAAGTCATCAGTTCTAGAAGGATCAGACTAAGCTGATATGATAAAAATGGCATGCTTACAAAATGTTCCCTTTGTGCTGTCTGAGCTAACGGGCCCTTTTATGTGACACAACCCAACCCTCAGAATGTCACTTATTATTTTTTTCCCAGAACAGATTTGAAGCTCCTTCTCTGAGTAAACCTTTGTTCTCTACTTTGAATCCCTCTGAGACACACTTCTGTATGGGAGTCTTGATCATGTTGGTCCCAACAAGACTGAAGATGGTGCTCAACACACAGTAGGACCTTAATAAATATTTGTTAAATGGAATAAACTCCTGATTTCTTTCTTCCTGTCTTCACAGCAGTGGCGCATCTTGCTCCTGGATGCAGAATGTGGCCAAAGTGGATTGGAGGCTTCGCCACTGGTGGGGTGACTGTCATGCGGTAAAATGTCCCTTCCTCCCATGCTGCACAGGCTCCAGTTTTTGCTCTCAGTCCTCACTATGTATCGTGGACTTCACTCTTCATATTAGATCTGTTTACTGCATGGCCTTCAGATATGATGCTACGGATGTCTCTGTGGTTCAAGCACCTGCTTTCCTTTTTCCCCTTGGAGGGGACACGGACACAATTTCATTTATGAAGCAGCTGGCATCTCAAATTCTGCCTTAAGTCACCTTAACCCAATTGAAGGCTTTCTTGTCCTCATAGCTTTTATAGATCAGCTGCATATGTCTTGCCTAGCCATCAAATCTAATAAGAGCAGACAGCCTTGTCTCTCTGATGGTTCCTGTGTAATCATGCCGCATCCATGTGTCATCTAACACAGAACATTTTGTCAGGTTAGGAAAGTGAAATTCATGAGCTTAAAATAGAGGACATCCTCCAGAGGGTTGCAGCCATGCCAGAGTTACACTTTCCACAAAAGGGACATCAGAAAAGCTGCCTCACTGGTTGGAACAACAGAGCATGCATTGTCGACACCCTCAGAGGCTATGTCTAAGACCACTGGTCCATCTGGCACTGACATCAAAATCTTGACCACCCATTAACACAACGCCTGGACTGAACATTGTCCTTTGGCTGAACCCTCCAAAACTGTGCTTGCTGCTGTTGCTTTAGACTCAAGACTGTCATATCAGCTCTTTTTGTTGTTGCACTAGCTTTGTTTGGTTCAAATGCTACAGTGTAGCACTGGTAAGTGAAAAATTAAGGAAGAACAAGCCAAAAGATAAAGCATGTGCCGGAAGCCACAGCCTTGCATAATTATCACGAGGATATTAACTCTCTAAAAAGAGGGATTTTCAAGTGTTAAAAAGATGCTATGTTGGGATATGGCATTACCTCTTGCCAGGATGTAGCTGACTTTGAATAAGGATAAAGCTAAAAGAATAGTTATGAAATTGTATTTTCTACTTTGTCCTCCAGAAAAACATGTCTGCAATTAAAACTTCTCATTAACAAGTTGAATTGTAACATACAGATTTATAATATAGGCTTATTAGAATAATAACACTTTTTAAATCACTGTGTTCATTTCCAACAGAATGTGAAAACTATCTTGGAAGTGTTATGTTCTGACTGGATTTTCATGGTTTTCAGATAATCATAGAATTGTTATACATATGTAACCCAACTTTTACTTCCTCAGTTTAGTAAAAAGGAATTGAAGATTGGAGTGATTTAGAGATTATTAAATCTCTTTTTAATTTCTTTGTATCTTTAGCCATAATTCCTCATCTGAGCTGCTTAGATCCTTTTGAAATGGGTTTAGAAAAGAAACAGTGATCAGAACACTACTTGACAGATTGGGTTAATCTTCAGTTTTTCAAGTGAATTGGGATTAAACTAAATTATTCTCACTATATCTGAAAATAACTACTTTCCTCGCCAAAAAGAACATGCACTTAAGTTGACAATCTCTAGGTTCTGATTCTGCAGATGTCTCAAGTTTGAACATACGGTGGTTGCACTTACCACCTGTGCTGAAATTCTTGCAAACACTTGGGATTTGAGACCAAATGTCAACTCCAAGTTTGATATTTATTGGCTTCAGTAACTCTTTCTTATAACCTTCTCTCAACCTTAAAATAGTTTGAGATTATTGTATTCATCTGAGTGTTAGTAAAAATGTCATTCCATTGTGGTGGAGAATAGCTATTTGAATAATTGTGGTGACTTGTTTAAGTTCTAGAATATTATACTCTTCCTTGTCATTGTGGGGCTTTCTAAGTCATTAACTCCTCTCCTTCATATATTGTAATAAATTTTTTCTTATTTTCGTTTTTATCATTTTATCACCTTATGTGAGTTTAAAGTCATTTACAAAAAGAAAGTAAAAGATTTTTCTTAGGCTCCAACACATTTAACTTTTAGTGCTAAAATACTTTTATGCTGTTCTTATTTTATTGCATCTATTAATATTTATGTATAGTTAAACTCTCTCCTAATATTTTCTAAGAGACAAAGCTTTAATAGTATAGGCAGGACAATGTGAAACATGTAACACAGTGAATGCTGATGTAATTTACAATAGTTAGCCTGCAGGTAAGACACTTTTTAGCGTAATACATCAGAAAAAATATATCTCATCTTATTCTACAGATTTTAGATGGCTGCCATAGCCATGCAGGTTTGATAATAAAATGATTATAAACTTTAAACAGAATGGTGGAAAAGAACTAATAAAATCAAGAGTTGAAATGGAGTATATTGGCTTGATGTTTATGGACTAATTTTTGGCAAGACATTAAAAATATCTGATCAAAGGGGAATGTGTAGATACATTCCAATTAGTTGACTTTTTTTGTTCTTTCATAAATGTTGAACATGAGATATATATGTATTAAGCAGCTTGTCCAAGGTCATTTTTCAGTGAATCACTAAAGGAACTAACTGAAAGAACAATGCATTATATCCTAATCCTTAGCTCTGCCTTAAACATTTGTACCACTATAAGCAAATGACTTATATGAGCTTGACCCCTACTAGGGACTCAATAAACACCTGTTGATTGACTGAAACACTGAGCCTTAGTTTTCTCATCTCAAAAATTGGAATAATGAAACCTACCATTGTAATGATGAACATATATTACTTTCACACAGATATTTGAAAAAGGCTAGTGATGAGCCAAGCAAACTCTAATTGTCATTTAGAGATTTAGAGTTCTGGTTGTAGTGTATATTATTTTTGCTCCTTTTAAAACTAATTTATTCATTTTGCTTATTTGAAAGGCAGAGAGAGGGAGGGAGAGAGAGAGAGAAAAAGAGAGAGAGAGAGAGAGTTAGATCAGAGACAGAGATATCCCATACTCTGGTGCACTTCCTAAAGGCCTGCAATAGCATGGGCTGGGCCAGGCTGAAGCCAGGAGCTTAAAGCTCCATGAAGTTCTCCTACATGGTGATAAGGACCCAACCACTTCAGCCATCACTTGTTGCCTCCCATGGTACACACTAGCTGAAGCTGAATTGGGAGTGGAGGCAGAACTTGGATATAAGCCCTCTGTTACAACATGAGGGTCTTCCAAGTGGTGTCTTAACCACTACACTAAATGCCCTTTCCACCACATTGTTTTAAAACAGAATACAAAGAAAGAGAAGGTGTGTTCACTGGTGGTTAAAATGTATTTGTAAAAGAAGAATATTGAAAACATCATTAAAGTTCTGGGAAAGGAAGTGAGGTTATTTAAAAAAAAAAAAAAAGAAAAAGAAAAACAGCCTTAGGATAAGCAGAGGGCCCTGTGAGCTAAGACTGACAAAATGCAAGAGCCCTGCCTGCTCTCTGCAGGGGGCGTCTGGCGATAACACGGCCTCTTTGCTTTTGAGTTCTGTGATGCTCTGCTTCCATTGCTACCTTAGTCTAAACTTTTGCCTAAAGCATGCCACACATTATCCAGGGGAGCTGTAGGTTCTCTAGTAGGTTAGAGTGCTGCCTTCATATCTCATTGCCAGCATATGGTCTATGGTGAGTAACCCTTCCATTATTTGCACAGCTGTTGAGTAATATTACATTAAAGCATTACATGCACAATTATGTTCAATTATATAAAATGAATCTATTCTACCTAATGCTTATTCTCTAGGGTTTGTGCATCTTTAGTTACAGGAAGTTTAGTACAGAGTGGCAGATGGTACAACACGATGTTTGTCAGCTAATAAATTTAAATGTCATGGCATTCTACATATTTTTAGCATATATATTTATATATTTTAGTCAAGTGCCTGAGCTTACTTCTGAAGTAGAGGAACAAATGTACTAAACTTCACATTCCTATCACCTTCTTTGGTGTGATGATGTGACTTTTGGGCTGCAGGGCAAGTGGCATTAAGCCATAACATTTTCTCCTTTGTACTACGGCCTGTCACATTTCTCTAGGGACACCACCTGTCAGAGGCACATCTGTGACATTGCTCTCTGCCCTTTCGCTAATACTGCTTTCCCAATTCCCTGTTCTTGCCAGATGAGAGTGACACTGCTGTCACATCTCTTCTTCAGCCCATTTTTCCTGCCATGGCAGGACTGGCTTTGGTCTGTCTCTCTTGCAATGATGCTGGCAAACCCTTTAGGTGTGCACCATAGCATTACATCTTTAATTTGTATCTTTTCCATTCTGGGTCTGTCTCTCTGTGAGAATGCAGTGTGCCTCTCCTCCAGTCCTTTCCTCCTGCTGCCTTCCCTGAGAATGTCTCACTTGCAGGCTGCATGGCTGGGAATTTGATCTTCTTAGCTTTAATGCATCTCTGGTAAAAAGTGTCTGACCAATGAGACTGAGACTTGATTGAGGTTAAGGGTTCACCTTTTACCTGGCTCTGGAGTCCTCCATGGGTGCAACATGTTTTTGAAGTGTCCTGTTTATTTTCTTCAGATTGGCTAATTCCTGTCCATCTCTGACCACAAAGGATGTGAGCTTTTCATACGCACATTGTCATTGAAGGCTGCTGGAGGATATCAGATAAGCTCAGGTTTGCATTGTACTCTAGCTCTGCCAGAGAGTCTGTTTTGAGAATCTACCTGTGACTCCCTCCAGCTCTGAGATTCTTCAGTGACTTCCTGTTAGAATCATTTTATATGAAGAAGTTCACCCCATCCTTATCCCTCTGTGTTAAATGACATCATGTCATGATCAATAGGTTGTAAAATAAGTTCAATTGGAAGGGGGCAGGATGATGAAATGATTAAGAACCAAGACCCTAGGGGCAGACGTCTGGATTTGAAGCCTAGTTCTGTTGCGTGTTAATTGTCTAAGCATAGTCTGGTTCCTTTCTTTCTTTCTTTCTTTCTTTCTTTCTTTCTTTCTTTCTTTCTTTCTTTCTTTCTTTCTTAGAGAGAGAGCGAGGGGGGGGAGGAGGGGGGAGAGAGTGAGAGAAGAGTTAGTTCTCATTATCTCATTATCCTATCCACTGTTTCATTTCCCAAATGCCCACAACATCTGGAACTGGGTCAAGCCAAAGTCAGGAGCCAGGAATTCAATCCAGGTCTCCATACAAGCAGCAGGGAGCCAAGTACTTGAGTTAGCACCTGCTGCCTTCTAGAGTATTCATCAGCAGAAAATGAATTGGGAGCAGAGCCAAAACTAGAAATCAGGTGCTGGGATATGGGACATGAGTGTCCCAAGTGGCATCTTAACCTCTGCCCCAAACACCTGTCCCCTTGCCCCTTTCTGAACCTCAGTTTTATCACTTATAAAATGAAGATAATAAATTCTAACTCAGAGACCTGCTATGGCAATGAAACGGAATGATCACCTGAAGTATTTACTACGGTGCCTGACATAGATTAAACACTCAACAAATAGTAGTTATTATGATGATAGGGATGAAATTAGTTGGGAATCAGGATTTATTAATTCACAAAATCAATATGTTATGTGAATAATAATAGTTAATATTTGCTGAACAAGTGTGTGACCCTTACTTTTATGATGTTTGTGCAGTTTTCTAGAATTTCTGCAGCTAACTGGAGTTTTGGGACTTCTGTTAGCAGACCTGAGTTGTGTATGAGGGTGAGGAGCACAGGCCCCATGCTCTAATACTCACTCTTGCTTGGGTTTAGACAATTCATTTACCCTTGCCCTGTTTTGGTTTCCTTATTTGCTGATGGTGAAAATAACACTTTCCATCGAATGGGGTAATAAAAGTGAAGTTTCCTGATGGACAGTAGGGAGTAATGCTGCTCTTCCCCATTCCTTTCTTATGTACTTCTGCACTTTCTTGTTTTCTTTTGAAAACTGACTTCCAAATGCCTGAAATTCCTCAAATAGTGCTGCAAGTTTCTAGACTTATAAATGGAAATTCCATAGATCTGTCCATTGAAGGAATCAGTCTCTCTACAGAAGCAGGGGAATTGAATCTCAGGTTCACAGAGAAGACAGAGATCTGACCTTGACCTTGTGTCTTTGTCCAATGAGTAGTGATGTAAATTAAAGGCTAGAGTAGTAAATGCTGAAATGCAGAACCTCTTCTTTAGTCAGTTTGCATTTGCATCCTCT